CAGGTGCTTGGACTGCCTGTAGGGTAGTGGTTGCAGGTGTACCACAATACACACAAGGTCTTTAGTTAAATCCAGCGCGCTGGACAAGCCAAGTTAATCATCCTGTCAGAAAATTGGGACTAGACCTTTTTGGAAGGATAAGGACACTGGCTTGATATATCGGTAAGCGATCGCAACTCATTGTAATGTCCAAATACTTTGCATTTCACTTCTATTCTCGTATGGATGGAGTCGATCGCACGGTGCCTTCCTAGTGAGATAGTTGACTCCAGTCGTTTTATTTTTCATCCTCACTATGCAGTTTTGAAACTCACGTATCTACCGGCTTACATCGACTATTGGAGTCAGTCTCGTAATCGCAGAAAATACTGACGCCCTGGAGGAATATCAGCCGGCCACAAGTCTGAAAACCTCTCTGTGACCCATTAAAGTGGGCTACTACGTGTGATGGAAACTAGGAGCTCACTGGGGTGTGCTTATCTCAGGATTCTTTGGAAAACCACTCTTGTGAAGTTTTTACTGTCAATGATGACTGTACTCCACAGGTCATCATGCTGCAGCTGAATCCACAAGCGACTTTAAGCACGTTCACGAAGGTTAATTATAAGCAGCACAACCAAACAAAGTGGATGTGCTAGGACTATCAGCTAATGTGAAGAAGAGCATCTAAGTTTCTGGCCAAATACATTGTTTTGTCAATGATATTTTTCTAGACTATAACATTGAAAGCATTCGTTTCCAAGTAGATGTCGTATTAACAAATTCGAATTGACTCCACATGGTCAAAGCGATAGAATTGTCATGTTCGTTGATGTCCAGTAAGCATAACTGTTGCTGTAAAACTGAATGAACCATTAATCTCATGTTGTAGAAAAAAGAATTTAATGTCTAGTTAGAAAAATACGAAAAAACTACTTATTTTTGTTCATGAAGTGTTCTAAGGAAGTTGGTTACGAAGGGGATTCAAAGGGCTTCAACGCTGATCGGCTGCCGAATCACGCGTGCTGTGATCGTCGCCCATCGGATCATCGGCACGTTCCGGTTCTCATTGTATCAGTCGATTTCAAAGTCTTCAACCGATACCAAAATAAAAATTATTGAAAATACGAAATCTTGTGAATTAAAGAACGGAATAAATCAAAAGGGAAGCAAATTAACCTTCTCTAACGACAACTTTTCGTAGTCTTAGAGAGCGAACAAAAAGCTCTCGTTTTGCTTTCATCCTTCTCACTAACATTTTCATGGGTAATTTGTCTTAAATATTGAGGTTCTTAATTTTTCTATACTAATACACAAATATTTATTGTTTGTTTAGTTTGATAATATTTATTTCTTGTTATATTTCCCATCATAAGTTTTTAAAACTGCTATTGCGAACTCTTTCTAATGGAAATAAGGCTTGGATAAGTTTTCGTTGCCTTAAAGCTTAGAAATGAGCGTACCCCTTAGGATTCCACGTACCACCATAGATAGTTTTTCTTTAATGATGCTGAAATATTTGCAAAACTCGAGGCGGTAGGTATCTACGGTGAGGAACGAACGCGCTATAACCCTTTCCGGGGAGTAACGCGTTCACCATCACACCATGCAGGTCTTTCACTTCGCCTCTCTTTCAGTTGGTTCCATCGATCAGTGCCATTAGCAATCATCCGTCTACAGGATTGATCTGGGGAGCCCAAATCGGAAATGGACCCAGTTAAGCTGAGCCGATCAGTTTTTTCTTTATATTGCACAAAATGACAACTTAGTAAAAGTTTTTTGGCATATGTAAAAAGTAGGAATGTTTCGCACATTTTATCTTTGTCCAATGACATTTTCCTTCCAATATGATTCCCGTTCTGTTTGACCCTTTATTCGATTTCGCTTTTCCTTCTGTCCTCTTAGTTCATTCTACATTTTTTGGACCTCGGCTTCCGTTCAAACCTCTTTCATTTGCTCACTGGGAGAAAAAGTGTCTTTAGCTGTATTTTTTGATTCTTTACAGGACTCAGTCAGAGCCACAAAATGTCTCAGATGTGATGCTTCTGCCGACATTTCTGCACTTCTTTCCGTTGTTCGCCGTTTATGGTAGGCAACAATCTTTTTTTTTCAACTTTTTCGCAACATTGTTCACTTATCCGTTTTCTTCCCACAGAATGTCTTATGATCTTCGCGGGCTTTAATCGGCGTAGGTGAAGCTAAAGGTGGTTTACAGTAATTTGCGCAGCTCTGAGTTACACCAGTTGCCACTATAGTTCTTCCAAGGTTTTGTGCTCTGGCTGCAATGCTTTGAAGTGGAAACGTTAAAATCGAAGAACTACTTCTTATCCTGATCATCGAATTTTCCAGTGGCTTTTCTACCGTGAAAGCAAAACTAATTAGGAAACTTCTTCTTTTTCGAGAGGGCTCGCTGTCCTTGGGAAAAGTTATTCGAAGCATGAATTTTTCAAACAAAACTTTGAAAAAAAACTTTATTTGTGACTTCATTCGAGTGATGAAATCAAATTATTTACAACTAAAACAACATTATATATTCTGCAATTTTTAGAACCTGTCGTAAAAAAGTTTTGCAAGCCTCTTCCTTTTTATCTCATGAATTATTAAAGCAATAGAAATATTTCCTACAAGCTCGAAGCTCAAACGGTTGAGAACTTTCTATAAACTAAGGAGCTTAATCTAAATTGGGGTATTCTCGGGAGTTATCCTCATTATTAAAGTGTAAAAGGTAAGGGGATTCAAGAAACTGTTTCAAAGGCTGTGAATAAATAGTTAAACGGTACGAAAAATAAAAACACTTTTTGCTCGATGACTAACATGTCTCGTCTCGAGTACACCTGGATACGTGGGCTCAATCCTGCCACTTCAAGCTGATAGAATTTGCAGAAAGAGTAAAATCATGCATGAAATAGAGTAGCACAATTTGAAATTCTGGGCATTCGGAACATAGCTGAGGTCAACTAGAAAAGATGGGGTTTTCTGTTTGTGATTTTAATAATGATTTTTAATGATGGCAATAAATACAATCGCTCCTAATGGTCTCATAGGCGAATTGCTACAAAATACAATTTCATTTACGAGTCAAAAACAATTTTAAAAATGGAATTCCGATCCAATTAATTGGTCGTCCACATTTTGCGATGAACACACAGATTCTCGCAGTCGCCACCACTGTCGGTGACCAATTTCCTCGAGTCACGAGAACCCCGTCGCGAATAGTGTTACAAAAAGACAAAAATTCTCCGTGGGTGGTCATTTTGGGGTGTCTTTGTTTTCATTAAGTTAATAAAAGAACCGATTTCATAGTTAAGAAAGACTATGATCCTCTTGAATATCGATCAAATCGGTCGACTTATGAATTTGTTAGCAAAGCAATCGAAACAATAGGTAGCATTCGCTAAGGCATCGAAGTAGATGGGCTACAAGAGGAAGCTGTAACGAGATTTTTTCGCACTTTTTCCAATCTTCGTACCAATCCTAGTGAAAAATCGAAAAAAAAAACAATCTGGTTGTATTAGAAAGCAGTTCGTAGTTGGCGATCCTCAATGACTCATCAAAAGAAGTTCGTGCACTAAAAACTCTAGCAAAGTTGCCTTAAGCCCACGTTTGAATAAAAAAAAATTCTATTTAGTTAGCAGAAATTCTTAGTTTTTATTGGCTTTTATTTAGTTCGGGGAAGTTCACCATGAAGTGCGATATGCTTAATAGAATTCAAAAGAGGTCATAACCACCGAATTGATTTCAATGCGTACAATAGCGAATAGCTTGATTAGGAGAGGTATCATCGATCTAAAAGATCTATGCCACCGTTCAGCTGCCGCTAATCCATCGCAGCCGTCTCGCCCAGGAGACAATCGTCAGCAATTAGATGTGAGCCGAAGGCAGTGGCTTTGACGGCTGCCGTAATGCACCGCCATGGGAACCATCGGCGAAACGGCATTAACTGCTCGGATTTAATGTAGTTAGTTAGAGACAGCTAATTAGCTATATCTAACTGTTGCGAAGGCGTCCTGAAGTTGATTGCAGACGACATAAGATCGCCTCCATTGTCTAAACATAGTCATTAGCCATATTTGAACACATAAAGCTTTGGGGATGCGCTGTGCATTCGACTGCATTCATGACATCACAGAGGTGCCTAAATAAATATTTGGCTTAAGCGCTAACTTGCAGTGGCCTTTACGTGTACGACTTAAGAGTTTTTATCCTCCCAGAGAAGTCCGGTGCCAATTCGCCGTCGCCGGAGGAGCGGATGATATGGTCGGATAGTAGGATCAAGCTAAAGATATACGTACACTGCAAGTAGGGCACCTAATATTGTGCATCATGCACCCGTCTGCTCATCTACCGAGCCAAAAACAACTGGTAGTAATGAACATCTAAATTTCTCGTGATGGTATGAGCTTAAGGTTTGCTCAAAGGCTTAGTCAAGTTCATATTTGTCATCGACTTTACCACCGTCAGCATAATCACCATAAAAAGTAGTTGGCGTCGTTAAAATAGCCGTGGTCGTTGGCTTCATCATCATAAAAATATTTAGTACTCCGACATGATGTCACTACTCAACTCATCCAAAACCTAAGTTGCCAAGAATACTTGGCCCACTGGGTTCTTTAGTCTTTTAACAGATGTAAGGTAGTGATGCTTTCAAAAAAGCAAAAAGAAACTATCGAGAACCTAAACTTCTCATAAAAATAACAGTAGCGTAAAAAAGGGATAAAAAAGCCTTTGCGGAACTAAGAAAAAACTTTCCTCACATAAAGAATTTTTATATTTAATAGTGGGAAAATATGAACAGAAGTTGTAAGGATAATGTATACTACGACAATCTAATTGTGCAATATAATACAACGGGTGTGACGTGGTTGAAGGTGTCCTGGAATGCTCACGTGGTCGATTGTTCGGCTTCACACCAGTAACAACGCCGAAATTTCCACCTTTTAATGGGTTGGAAATTGTGCCAACACAGCTTTTTCACTACAGTGCAACTGATTTCCTTTTGTTAAGGAGAAGTTGGACGAGAAATGCGCGCTACCAGGATGTCGGTCGTGGATTTCTGGAAGAACGAGACGCTTGGTGACGGATTCAACATTCGTGTAGCGCACGGTGTTAACAGTTGGCCAGACTTAGTGGACCAACTACATGGCGAGTTCCAGTTCAGGGTTGATCATCATGAGTAATAGAACAGTATAAAAACTCCTATAATTCTGAGATATTTGCACAACTCCGGACCCCAGGTGTCCGCGGTGGGGAACGAACGCGCTATTGTCCTTTCCGGGGAGTAACGCGTTCACCACCAAACCATGCGGGTCCTTCGTTTTGCCTGTCCCTCAGCTAGCTCTATCGATCACTGCCATCAGCAAAACCCGACAACGGGATTGATCTGGGGTGCCCAAATCGGCATTGAACCCAGTTAAGCTGAGGCTATAGTTATAATCACAATCTTAACTTTTTTATTTACTGTCTCTTCTTTTAACAGCAGGATGTGTTGCAAAATAGCTGAGAGACAGGCTAAACGAAGGACCCGCATGGTGTGGTGGTGAACGCGTTACTCTCCGGAAACGACAATAGCGCGTTCGCTCCACACAGCAGACATCTACGGTCTAGAGCTTTGCAAATATCTCAACATTATAGAAGTTATATTTCGCAACATACCCTGCCGTTAAAAAGAATAGCCAGTAAATAAAAATGTTAGGATTGTGAGTATGAAAACTGTTTAAGAAGAGAACTGAAGAGTTCTCTGTTTTTTACTTCCCTTTCGCTTTTTGTAATTTTCTGAACTTATTATCGTACCACCCTATGGCTGAATTAACGAAGAAATCGATTGAGCATCAATCTTCATGTGATTTAAAACACATATATCTTTTTTTATTTTATATGGTTTATCTTCACGTCTACTGTGATGATCCCAGCACTTCACACAACCGATTCATTTCCAAGCATCCCTTGTCCACGAAGACCTTCCAACTTTTCGTGCAACTTTGGCTGCTGCTTGAGGATTTTCATTTCATCTTGAATGCCATACAATGCTGGTCGAAGAATTCTCCCTCGAGTCCTGAGATAGCCTGGCTGGACCCTTCTCAATTGAGTTGCAAAGTGATTTTTTCCCCAGACAAATCCGGTGCAAATTTTCCAACTCTGCTGCGATGAGAGAATTGGTTGGTCCGGAACGGAATCGGACTAGCATCATGCTCTCAAAGATGGACATCACTGTCACTGTGCTATCCTTCCTAAAAGCAATATAATTTGCTAGAAATTGTTCGAGCCACCAAGGTGTTGTCCCTTACATTTCACCGAGTCTACTTTATAGTTCTTCTTTTAAGTGAAGAAGGTGAAAAGTAGGTACTACACGCGAGAACAGCTTTTGTTTTGGTTTAAAGAGAAAGCGTGTTAGTTAAGTGGCCAGACAGAATCTGAGGTGTCCTTAATAAACCTCTCTATTTTGAGAAAATTTTCAAGAGTTTCAGCGTTGTTTTTAAGAATGAGATTAACTTTCATGGATGACATCATCAGCGGTCGCTGACGTGAACTTTACTGGCGACCTCACCGCGATCTTTCCAAGGCCTTTCGGTGTTTTTCGTTTTTCTTCAGACGATAAGACGCGTACAAGATGCCCGATGCCAATCAGCGGCAAAAAACAAACGTTTCTATTTTTGATGATTCGACCGTACGTTAATTGTTTGACCGCGTTCAGCACGCGCAGAAGATCTGTCATTAATGGCCGACGGATTTGTGTTAGTTGTCCTCCCCACTCCTCTTATCTCAATCTCATTTATTTGTGGATGGGAAAACACTGGATGTTCGTAACACAATGGAATGCACTGCTGAAAGGTTTAGTTCTTACTTGAAAAACTGAAATACAGAATCTGTTCTGCTTCTATTTGCAATTTTTCCTCACCATAGTTGGAAAACAGGAACAGCCTGATAAACAAAAATACAAGGATTCATGAATTTTATGTTTCAAGTCCGGAAGACTTTTCCAGAAGAAAAAACTGCTCTAAACGGGAGTTTTAATGTTATGTGTTTCCCGTACTGAACGGCACGGTAACGCTAGAGATGAAGTGAGCCAAAAAATCTCTGATTTTATGTTCCACTTCAATCCACATGCATTCATACTTATTCTAAGTCAGATTTGAAGAAAAAACTAAAGTCATTCACAAAGCTTCACAGTTAAAATATGAACTAAACTTTAGGATTTGTCTAGTTTTTATTGATTATTCGTTTAAACCCTCAACGCTTCCTTTCTCTTTCCAGAGCCATTTCTGAACAAATCGATGCTGATCGAGGGTGACGTATTTCTGCACACAGCTCGTCGTCCAAGACACCGAGCGATTCCGGTGATGAGAACAGAGGCTCGAACGGCCGATCGGATCACATTCAAGGAATGGCTACGAGAAGTGGCGAACCTTCGCAAAGGTCAGCACTGAGACTATTCTCCCCGTCGTCCTGTACCTCCTGTCTGTCGAGATGCCTATGACGATGACCGTTAATCAATCTATCGAACCGCCACCAGAGATGGAGTAAAGTGTAATGACACAGATATGTCAGTGCAGCCTAATGTTTGCCATCGAAAAGACGATGATCGATTACCGTATCCCTTAGCGGAGTCCTCATTTGCAACAAATGGGTCCCACGGGTCAGCACAACACATTGGTTCAAATCAGTCACACTAAAGCAAAAACAAACTCTTCATAGGAATAATTTTTGTCTTGTATTTTAGTAAGAATGTAAGATATCTGTCAAAAATGATTGATTATTCTACTTGTAACTATCAAGAAAAGCAGGTGAAGTAGGCAGAAGTACTACAAGTGATGAAAGAAACACTGAAATAAGGCAACACTTTGGCATTGATAAGGCGTAGGTCTTCTTCCAATGTTTTCCATTTGATGAGGTTTACGATTTCAGCAATCAAAATCAATTTTCGATCAACTGAAGTGATCCATCCGGTACTTCAGTACTTATATGCTTCTCAAGTAGACCCTCTTGCTCCGGTACTGCAGTACCCAGTTATTCTTCATGCGAACGTTTTTCGTTCCCCATGTAGTGCAGAGGTACGTCGTCTGCGTTGTACTCGGGTAGTGTACGGAGTGCAGCACAAGTAGATAGTTTTTAAAAATCTTGGAAACACTAGAACGTTCGAACAGCTAATGGAAAGTTTTTTAAATAAAAATACCTACAAACAGTATTGATGAGATTTTATGAAGAAAAGAAAAGTCACGCTGAAGAAAACTCTCGTGGCCGATTTAATGTGTTCATTGCATGAAGTGTGATTTAGGTTTTATTTCCTTTGGAACTTAGCGATTTGCTGTTCAACTTTTGATAAACTGTTTCTGCTGGAGAATTTCAAAGCTTTTTAAACGAAAAAAAGCGAAGGAAAAATATTTACGGGAAAGAATTTTGAAACCTCTGCGAAAAAGTTTACTTCTCTTTCAAAAGGCTGAGATCTGAGTTTTATCACCAGATGATCGCTGGGCTTAGCGGTAGACTGAGATTCACGAATCACGGACATTAGAAGGAAACTGACTGCTATAAGTTGGAATATATTCCACTTCTTATAAAGGCAGCTACGAGAAGAATCTGCTTTTCAGAACACCGTAGATGCGTCAACGTTTGTCGACCGAACTCGTCGGCTCTTTCCGGATGCGACGATTTCGCTTGGATGGACGAAGCAGTCAAATTTTACAATGCTTAATCCGAAGTACAAGAGGCTAGTTTGTATAATGTAGAAGAACGTGCGATGCTGGTTGTTTCGTTCTCAACGACATTTCTTTTTTATGCTAGTATTTTTCTGTCGTTTTTCCATTATCCACTTCATCGATTTTTTGAGTGTTTCACACTTCTCTCCAGGGTACTCTCCTCAACTTTCTTTAAATTCAGGCTCTCTTGGAAACAACTGTTTCAAATACTCGAGTATATCGCCCGCCTCGATCAACCGGTGATGCTTTGCGTTCGCCTTTCAGTGGTTGGTGTTTTTTTCTTTTTAATATCCAGCATGCCACTTGAACTTTCCAAGTTTCTAACATTTAATCCTAGACGACGACAAATCCTCAATCCTTTATCATTCAAAGCCAAGGCCATTCGCGTATTCTGTATGGAAACTAAGATTAGCACAATCACTTTACTTCAGTTGTAGGAATGTTACTCATATGAATATTAAAGTCCTTTCAGCAATATTCTGATCAGATTACTTCGCTAGTTAATCTAGGCTTCAAATTCTAAAGATCAACTCCTATGGCTTCTTGGTATGGAAAAAGCGGTCTCGCTGCTGATTTGGAGTGATCAAGATGATGAGGTAGTAAACTAGTAATTCCCACGAGTCGTTAACTTTTCTCAAACTTTAGTCGATTGTTTTAATCTGTCGAAGGAATTTCTAGGATATCGACTGGTCATCCGTGGTCGACATTCGACGTATGGCCACGAAAAACCGTGTTCTCTATGATTTACAACCTCATCATCGTGAAATCATACAACGAATTCCTATGCAGCCAGTGATAGTCCAGGTAGGGTTGTTTTCCTTTTGTTTCCCATGCGATACCGCCCGCTCTTCTTTTCGATGTTTCTGCATTTTTCTCTTTCTGCGATGACTTTAGAGACTCCTCGAAGAACCGGGAAAAAACCGCATCATCTGGAACCTGATTTCGCAATTTTCAAAAGCTCTAGAAGCCTACAAATATTAATAAATATAAGTTAAATCTCGATTTCCAATCGAAGCATTCTTTCATTCTGCGTTTACTAAAATCCAAAAACGATGCCTTAAAATCTGAGCAAGAGCAAGGAAGTGATAACAGTCATGGTCTGTCGAAGGTTCCAGTTAAGAGATAAAGGATAAAGCTTTCAACATTGATCCTAGTGTTGTGTCAATCCTGTTTAGGATGACTCAAGTGAAAAGTTTGTAGACGACATACAGCAAGGAGATTGGGCGATAGTTGCCGATATTGTGTAGGTCACCGTTATGGAACAATAACACGGTCTTGCTGGTCTTCCACTGAGTAGGGACATTGCATTCAGACAGGTAACGTGTGAAGAGCCGAGCCAGTGTGTTTACGAGAACTGGCGGAAGGTTCTTCAGGTGTTCTGGTCTTATCCTCCCCGGACCTGGTGCTGTTCGGTTTTTTCACCGACGAAATGGGATGTCGGATTTCTTAAGGGAGAACCGGTGGTACAACATATCCATCCTCCTTTAATTCATATGAGTGAAGGTGGACGTAGTTATCGAAGAGATCTGAGCAGTATTCGTAAATGATTTTTTCCATTGCTGCTCTGGATGCTGCAACTGTTCCGTTTGGGTGTCGGTGTGCAATCATCTTGGGCTTGTAATTGGCGAAGCTTCGGTGGCTTTGCGAATGCTTTTCTCGGCTTCTGTAGCTTCGGGCATTACTGCTGCTCTTCTCTCTTTAACATCTTCCTTTATCGCCTGTCTGCATTGTTCTGCAAGTTCGGACGTTAGATTGCGGTTGCCTGCTGCTCGTGCGATTCTACGCTGGCGTATCATCTCGAGTGTTTCTGGAGGCAGACGTCTCTTGGTGACTTTCGAACTCTCAGCTTTCATAGCGCTAACGTGAAGATGTTGAATGAGCCGATCGTATTCTCCGTCTATGTTATCGACAACGGCATCTTCCCAGTAGCCGACTAATGAATTGAATAATTCCCAGTTTACTGTGGTTCTGGGACTTCGGTTTTGGAATTTAGCGGCTTTTTCACCTCTCCGCGAAAAATAGAAACCTTCACGAAGAAGACGATGTTCTGATCCCGTGTAGAATTTTAGGGCAACAGCTGCATCGGTTAAGCAAAACGTTCTATTTGCTGTGATGTGGTCTACTTCGTTATGGTACTCTCCATTGGCAGACTCCCACGTCCAGCGTTGAGGATGGTGCTTCTGGAATTGCGAGTTACTATGGATTGTCTTGGTCGCCATGATAAACTCAGAGAGCCGCCCACCCTGTTCGTACCATTCTAATGTGTGGGTCCCAATGTGACGTTCTTCAGACGTTCTTTTTGGTCAAAGCTTGGTGTCGAAATCTCCAATGATGACCTTGAAGAATGCATGGTTTTCTCTGTAGAACTTTTCCAAGTCCATATAGAACGTTTCGATTTTTTCTTCGTCACAGTTTGATGTCGGCGCGTAAACGACGAAGATTGTCAAAGCGGGTATTGATCCACATTTTTTAATCATAAACGTCCAATTCGGTTTGCAAGTTGCTCGAGTGAATCAATGTTCATGGACAAACTCATGTTAACAAAAACGCCGACGCCGCCGACGCCGCCGACTCCTCTACTGTCGCATGTTCCGAGGAACAGTTCTTCTCCGCTATCATTGACGGTGTTGAATGGGTGGCGTCGCCTCGTCTCGGTCAGGGCGATGACGTCGTACTTTATCCTTCTTACTTGCATGAGCAAGTCTTTTATCCAGGACTTGGATGCAAGTGTACGTGCATTGTAGGTACATATCGTCGCCATAGTTGTTCGTTATCCAGGAAGCTTCATTGGCCCTGAGATTTTCGCAGCTCCTCCGTACTCATCCTTCCCAACACTGTGAAATTGGAGGCCCTTTCGGGTTCAGGTGAATGACGCCCTTTTTTTTTTTTACTGCGTTTAGCATTTTGTTACCCACATATGGCTTGCTGGGCTATGAACGTGGTGTCACAGTATACTCACGGGTAGCTTGCCAGGCTCTCCTAGAGTGGACATGGAGCTTATTTGTTGGAGGGGACTCCTAACCGCTTCCTATATACTTTCCAGTGACCCGATTGCAGGCTTTTGGCCGAATTAACTCGTAGAATACAATCCTCGTAAATTAGAACGCACCCACACACTTGTGCATAGATACCCTTAGCAAATACAGAATGTATGTGCCAAGTCAGCACAGCAGAAACAGGGAGTCGATCACCTGCGTCTCAGGGAAGCAAAGCTCGCTTTCAGTCCGCGATTAACCCCCTATCCACCAAATGGGGACGCGCCACGTAGCCTCGCGACTAACCGGCTCGAGATCCCTCATATGAGGGAGATCCGTGGGTATATACTACACATACATATAATAAAATATGTATACATATAATAATATAACAATAATAAGATAATATATATATAACATATACACTGTAACAATAAGATAATATATAACATATAATAATATAGATTATAATATAATATAATATATGTATTCTTTCTTGATGAGCTTACACGAGGTTGATAAATATATTTATTTTCGGCTAACGTTTCGACGTCTTCGTCTTCCTCAGAGCCGGTGATCCGAGTCGATGGTCCATGCTTGTTGTTCGCCTCGACGTTGCGTCTTCGCCTTCCTGTCGAGCCAGATCT